GATTGACCAGTACAAGGGGACACAGTTGAGTTGAAGACTGCAGATGAATCACGGGATGTTAGGAAGTATTTCTTCAGCCCACCACACACACAGAGTAGTCAGTCAGTGGAAATGTTTTGGGAGGGAAGCGATGTAGTGGAGGCAGGCTCCATATTAGCTTTAAGAGAGGTCTGAAAAAGCTCCGGTTCAGGGATGAGTGTCCTGTAGGCGATCCAGTGAAGAGGCGGGGCCAGGGAGTCGGACTCGACCCCCGCAACTCACTAGGTGAGTACAACTATGTGAGTACACAACACAACACACACCCACAACAACAACACCCACACACACACACCCACAGTTATTTTACCAATGTTGATGGAGTAGGGCATCTAACAGGCCAACCAATGGATTCAAACGGAGGATGTAAAGCAAGAGAACCATGGATAATTGGTCTGAAGAATGAGGAATGGAGCAGCAGAACAGGCTCAAGAACAAAATGGAATCGAGATTGGGTCCCCCCCGTTAAATGAGTTAGCAACTGATAGGAATCCTATCTGCATGAGAGCAAGACAAGTAAGTTGGGAATTATGAGCTTGTCACTGATGAGGCAAAAAATACAGGAGACTGGAGGAAGGAAATGGATGTGCTAAAGCAGGATATAAAGATGAAATCAGAAAGGAGCAAGGTGACTGAACTACGAAACATCAGAAGGCAGTGAGAGGACTGAGAGATGAGGATAGCGATAAGGAGTCCCTTGGCAGAAAAGTTATATCAGGCATGGAGTGTCTGGGAGATAATATGGATATGATAAATCTGAACTAGAATATGAAGGAAAAATAATGGACGTTGTCAAGAGGTGACGGGAAGACATATGATGAAAGAAAGCATTGGTAGGAAAAAGAGATTAAGCTTCATCCTCGCATAAGAGGAGTGAGAATTACCTGTCTCAGGAAGAAAAGAAAGATTTCCCACACTTGTGGGATATTCGAAGATGAAAAAACTGACAATCAAATGACATTCAAGACTGTAGTGGCACAGATAACAGGATACTACAATAGACACCACTGTAAAAGGACTCTAAGACACTGTGTCTATTAGGGCCTCTACATAAAGCTTAGTCCCTCTATTGTTTATAGTGTGACTATTTTTTTTTCTCATGGCTCCCACAGTGTTGATAGGGCTTGGCCATAAAGTTTAACTCTTTGTTCCATACATGTCCCTAGTTTGTGAAGTGATGTAGCAATTTCTGCTTTAAGGAAAAGGAGAAAATGTAAACTATTCTTTGCCTTCTCCTATACAGGCGAAGGCAAAGAATAATAGAGAGGCTAAAATAGGTCAGTATATCTGCAATACGTAGGGAGACACTAGTCAGAGAAATAGCAAACATCCAACTAAAGCTAAAGGAATCTTATAGGAGTCAAGAAACGAGGGAAGAACTAAAAGCCATAAATGAAATTGAAAGAAACCCAAAACATTTATTTTCTTATACCAAATCAAAGTGGAGAACAACATCCAGTATTGGGCCCTTACTTAAACAAGATGAGTCCTACACAGATGACAGCAAGGAAATAAATGAGCTACGCAAGTCCAAATATTACTCGTTTTTTAGCGAGCCGCTAACCAGACTGAGAGTCAATGACCTAAATGAATTATTTATGAAAAAGACAGAATTTAGTAGACATGAACATATCTGATATTATCCTGATGCCAAATGACTTTGAAAAGGCGATAATTGACATGCCCATGCACTCTGCCCCAGGCCCAGACTCATATAACTCCCTGTTTATCAAGAACTGCAAGGATGTGCTTTTAACATCTTATGGAGAGGGAGCATGGACACGGGGGTCGTCCCACAGTTACTAAAAACAACAGACATAGCCCCACTCCACAAAGGGGGCAGTAAAGCAATAGCAAAGAACTACAGACCGATAGCACTAACATCCCATATCATAAAAATGCGCTGGACAGGCGCATAAAGTCATTACCTGACCAGCCGGGCTGTGGTTCGTCGGGTTGTATGCGGCCAACAGTAACAGCCCACATGGAGGCCTGGTCACATACCTGGCCGAGGGGGCGTTGACAGTGATGCCAGACTATTGTGTAATATTTAACAGTGTTACAAGTCAGTGGTAAAATGTTTTATAGCTTTTACCACATTGTGGTAATTACAGTATTTCTAATCTGATAAAAGCTGTGTGACCGTGTAACTAGTGTGATATTAAATATTATATCAGTTTACCACATAAGTGTTACCAATCCTTGGTAGCATTAAAAGTTACTATAAGAAAAAAAATATTTAACATATTTAGGGAAGGCAAATTTGAGTTATTAATAGTGTGGAAGATGTGTGAAAATAGTCATGACTAAAACCTCAGTGTCCTCACTCCCAGGATGTCCTTCACACATGCTGCTGCAACATCCTCAGTGTCCTCACTCCCAGGATGTCCTTCACACATGCTGCTGCAACATCCTCAGTGTCCTCACTCCCAGGATGTCCTTCACACATGCTGCTGCAACATCCTCAGTGTCCTCACTCCCAGGATGTCCTTCACACATGCTGCTGCAACATCCTCAGTGTTCTCACTCATAGGATGTCCTTCACACATGCTGCTGCAACATCCTCAGTGTCCTCACTCCCAGGATGTCTTCACACATGCTGCTGCAACATCCTCAGTGTCCTCACTCCCAGGATGTCCTTCACACATGCTGCTGCAACATCCTCAGTGTTCTCACTCATAGGATGTCCTTCACACATGCTGCTGCAACATCCTCAGTGTCCTCACTCCCAGGATGTCCTTCACACATGCTGCTGCAACATCTTCAGTGTCCTCACTCCCAGGATGTCCTTCACACATAGTGTTACAACATCCTCAGTGTCCTAACTCCCAGCATGTCCTTCACACATACAGCTGCAACATCCTCAGTGTCCTCACTCCCAGGATGTCCTTCACACATAGTGTTACAACATCCTCAGTGTCCTCACTCCCAGGATGTCCTTCACACATGCTACTGTAACATCCTCAGTGTCCTCACTCCCAGGATGTCCTTCACACATCCTGCTACAACTTCCCCAGTGTCGTCACTCGCAGGATGTCCTTCACACATGCTGCTGCAACATCCTCAGTGTCCTCACTCCCAGGATGTCCTTCACACATGCTGCTGCAACATCCTCAGTGTCCTCACTCCCAGAATGTCCCACACACATGCTGCTGCAACATCCTCAGTGTTCTCACTCCCAGGATGTCCTTCACACATGCTGCTGCAACATCCTCAGTGTCCTCACTCCCAGGATGTCCTTCACACATGCTGCTGCAACATCCTCAGTGTCCTCACTCCCAGAATGTCCCACACACATGCTGCTGCAACATCCTCAGTGTTCTCACTCCCAGGATGTCCTTCACACATGCTGCTGCAACATCCTCAGTGTCCTCACTCCCAGGATGTCCTTCAACACTGCTGCTGCAACATCCTCAGTGTCCTCACTCCCAGGATGTCCTTCACACATGCTGCTGCAACATCCTCAGTGTCCTCACTCCCAGGATGTCCTTCACACATGCTGCTGCAACATCCTCAGTGTCCTCACTCCCAGGATGTCCTTCACACATGCTGCTGCAACATCCTCAGTGTCCTCACTCCCAGGATGTCCTTCACACATGCTGCTGCAACATCCTCAGTGTCCTCACTCCCAGGATGTTCTTCACACATGCTGCTGCAACATCCTCAGTGTCCTCACTCCCAGGATGTCCTTCACACATGCTGCTGCAACATCCTCAGTGTCCTCACTCCCAGGATGTCCTTCACATATGCTGCTGCAACATCCTCAGTGTCCTCACTCCCAGGATGTCCTTCACACATGCTGCTGCAACATCCTCAGTGTCCTCACTCCCAGGATGTCCTTCACACATGCTGCTGCAACACCCTCAGTGTCCTCACTCCCAGAATGTCCCACACACATGCTGCTGCAACATCCTCAGTGTCCTCACTCCCAGGATGTTCTTCACACATCCTGCTGCAACATCCTCAGAGTTCTCACTCCCAGGATGTCCTTCACACATGCTGCTGCAACATCCTCAGTGTCCTCACTCCCAGGATGTCCTTCACGCATGCTGCTGCAACATCCTCAGTGTCCTCACTCCCAGGATGTCCTTCACACATGCTGCTGCAACATCCTCAGTGCCCTCACTCCCAGGATGTCCTTCACACATGCTACTGCAACATCCTCAGTGTCCTCACTCCCAGGATGTCCTTCACACATGCTGCTGCAACATCCTCAGTGTCCTCACTCCCAGGATATCCTTCACACATGCTGCTGCAACATCCTCAGTGTCCTCACTCCCAGGATGTTCTTCACACATCCTGCTACAACATCCTCAGTGTTATTTGTGTTACAGTTAGTGGTGCTGATATTCGCTGTACTAAAGTACTACTTCCCATCTTCCTCTATTACAAGTGTGATATTGCTTGTACCGGTCGTTATATTTACTTCACTTGGTCTAAAGTCTTTCTGTTGCACATTGGTAATTAAAGTAGCATTATTATTATTATTATGATCAAGGGGAAGCGCTAAACCCGTAGGATTATACAGCGCCTGTTGGGGATGTGGAAGGCATTCAGGCTTAATTCGGGGAACTGGAGCACAGATCCAATTCCCTTAATCAAGAGCCACTCACCAACATCAAGGAACCTTCCCTGAGGGGAATTAAAGTAGCATTTCACCTGTTCATTTATGTCAAGAACATTTGCATTAATCTACTTAGAGAATAAATAAAGCTTTTAGGATACACAGCTTTCTGTGTATATATTCTGTATGTTCTAGTGCACAAGTCACTGTTATACTATCAGAGATACGCTAATTTCTGTATATACAAAAAAATACCGTGTATATCCTGAGTTACATATCAAAATTTAAAAATATATTTATGACATTTATGTTTCACCATGACTAATGCGATATTAAATCATTGTATTTTTTGTTTAATGGAACTATATCAGTTAATTTGGCTTCCTGCCTATACAGCCTTCCTGCTCGAGACTGCTCGGACGTTCAACATAAAGGTGCGACTCAGAGTGGTGTCTACCAGATCTTCCCTCAGAGGTAAGTTGTTTCCTGAGCCTCAGTTAATAATCTGACAGTTATTCTATAACAGTGATGTGTATAATTCTGTCAGTTGTTCAGCTCTGCCAACCTGTATTTATTCTCGTCTTTAAAAGACATAAAAACATAAATCACTACTTCGTGTCTTCATATATGTTAATTAACAATACAAAACAAATAAAAAGATCCTTTTATTGGTTAAGAAACTCTTCATTGGAACTGCATACATAACAATTTCAGATCTTTTCATGTCATGGAATTATAAGTAAATAATCAATGAATATTTAAGACAAGTAAACTGACTAGGAAAATGCAACAAAGTAAACGTATCAAAAACTCAATAATTCTAGGCTATAATAGTGTAATTTCACTTTCTTGATAATTAACAAAGTACTTTCCAAAATTCTCTCTTATTTACAGTGCAGTTCTATGATTATTTGTTTTCTTGTGACAAGTGACGTATCTGAGCTGGAATATATACATAGATCCCCATTGAATCACATTATTCTGTCACTATTTCAGTTACTAAGTTGCTGCAGAAGCTAAGAAAATGTCTAAGAGGCTTCCTTCCGTGTGGTATATGAGCCTAAGATTTATAAATCAAAATTTAAGAATATAAATAACAAAAAGGCACAATACCGTGACTGGAACGATACACAAATAACCCGCACATAAAAGACAGAAGCTTACGACGACGTTTCGGTCCGACTTGGACCATTGACAAAGTCACACTAACAGAGGAGGAGCAGGACGGCTATATATAGGCAGGAAGAGGTGGAGGTAGTAGTAGTAGTAGTAGTAGTAGTAGTAGTAGTACAAGAATTGTATATAATACCGACAGGATGAAATGACACATGCACAACACCCGGGCATCCCCACCGTAGACGTTTCGCCATCCAGCCAGCAACTGGATGGCGAAACGTCCACAACAAAGACAAGCAGACACCGCACATGTGTCTAATTTCATCAGTAGATGTAGTAGAAGAAGAGAGGTAGTAGTAGTGGTAGTGGTAGAAGTGGGAAATAAGGAAGACGAGCCAGTCAAATACAAAGGAAGGGGAGCACTGCAAGAGAGCTAGAAACCCACAGAGGGAGAGCAAGCGCACCGAGGTGCGTGAAAGGGGAAGTGGTGAAATAAAATAAAGAAGGAACAGAAACACGAGACAGGAGAGAGAAAGACAACCCTGCGGAGAAAAGGAGAGAGGAAAGGGGAAGAGGAAGGAGAAAAAGAAGAAGAAGAAAAAATGAGGATTCAGGTTAAGTCACGGGTGTTCTGAAGTTTGGAGCATTTTACAATGTAGTGGGAGAGGAAGGCATCTACAGAGACGAAGCCAGGGCTAAGGTTCATACAAGGAAAGTTGTGTATAAGAGAGGATTCAACTAAACGGCGACTGTTCGAGTTGGAAGTAGGGAAGACAGTTTTAGCAGAAGACCAGTCAATAGGATGGCTATGATCTCTGACGTGACAGAACAGAGCATTGTTAGTGTCGGCAAGCCTAACACTATTTTTGTGTTCCCTAAGTCTGTCAGAAAAAGATCGACCAGTTTCTCCAAAGTATTGAAGAGGACAGGAGGAGCAAGAAATAGAGTAGACACCAGGAACATCTGTAGAGGGAGGAGAGGTATGAACGAGATTAGTGCGAAGAGTGTTAGTCTGGCGGAAGGTAAGCTTGATGTCTAAGGGACAGAGAGAATTGTTGAGATTAGAAAGACCGGAAATGTAGGGAAGGCAGAGGATAGAAGAGTTCCCATGAGTAGAGAGTTTGGGAGAGAAGAAATTGCGTTTAGCACGTGAGAGGGCAGAGTCTATGAAATGGGAAGGGTAGCCAAGACGGGAGAACGAATTATAAAGAGTGGAAATTTCTGCTGGAAGGAACTGAGGATCACAGATGCGGAGGGCACGGAGAAAGAGGGAGATAAGAACACTTTTCTTGACAGGGGAAGCATGATAGGAAAAGTAGTGAATGTACATGCCACTGTGTGTGTGATGAATGGTTTGAAAAACCGACAAGTTGAAGATTGAGACACTTATGCAGCATATGGGAATCTTTATTCAGGAAACGTTTCGCCACACAGTGGCCACTGTGTGGCGAAACGTTTCCTGAATAAAGATTCCCATATGCTGCATAAGTGTCTCAATCTTCAACTTGTCGGTTTTTCAAACCATTCATCACAACTGTCAGACACGGCAGCATCATGGGGTCTTGTTACAAAGAATTCTTCAACACTTGTTCAACCTTTGGACGAAGACCTACTTCGACTAGTGGATGGTACCACTATGACCCCGCCTCCATCTGCTTCACGTCACCTCACTACAGTATATAAGCCACGTCTACGGCCCTATGCTGTACATTCTACAAGTTTGATGGACTGAACACATCGACTCCAGGTTGAGGGATGATTACCTCATTCTCCTCCTCTCCCTTACGCCTTCCTCTTTGTATTGGACTGATGAACCCCACTGTGTGGCGAAACGTTTCCTGAATAAAGATCCCATATGCTGCAAAGTTCTCAATCTTAAACTTGTCGGTTTTTTCAAACCATTCATCACAACTGTCAGAAAACGGCAGCATCATGGGGCCCTTGTTACAAAGAATTCTCAACACTTGTTCACCTTTGGACGAAGACCTACTTCGACTAGGGGATGGTACCACTATGACCCCGCCTCCATCTGCTTCACGTCACCTCACTACAGTTTTAAAAGCCACGTCTACGGCCCTAATGCTGTACATTCTACAAGATTGATGGACTGAACACATCGACTCCGGGTTTGAGGGACTGATTACCTCATTCTCCTCCTCTCCTTACGCCTTTCCCTCTTTGTATTGGACTGAGAAGCCACTGTGTGGCGAAACGTTTCCTGAATAAAGATTCCCATAGCTGCATAAGTGTCTAAATCTTCAACTTGTGGGTTTTTCAAACCATTCATCACAACTGTCAGACACGGCAGCATCAGGGGTCTTGTTACAAAGAATTCTTCAACACTTTTTTCAACCTTTGGACGAAGACCTACTTCGACTAGGGGATGGGGGGGTACCACTATGACCCCCGCCTCATCTGCTTCACGTCCCCCTCACTACAGTATATAAGCCACGTCTACGGCCCTATGCTGTACATTCTACAAGATTGATGGACTGAACACATCGACTCCAGGTTGAGGGACTGATTACCTCATTCTCCTCCTCTCCTTACGCCTTCCTCTTTGTATTGGACTGATGAAGCCACTGTGTGGCGAAACGTTTCCTGAATAAAGATTCCCATATGCTGCATAAGTGTCTCAATCTTCAACATGCCACTGTGCATAGGTTTACGGTAAACGGAAAAAGAAAAACCTGTATCTGAGCGGTGGACATGGACATCAAGGAAAGGAAGTAAGGAATTAGATTCCCATTCAGCTTTAAACTTAATGGAAGGGGCAAGATTGTTAAGAGCTTCAAGAAAAAGTTGGAAGAGACTGGAGTCATGAGGCCACAGAGCAAAGATGTCATCCACATAGCGGAGCCAGAGTGAAGGTTGCACATCGAGGGTAGGAAGAAGAACAGTCTCGAAGTATTCCATGTAAAGATTAGCAAGGACAGGAGAGAGAGGAGAGCCCATAGCGACACCAAAGGTTTGGGAATAATATTTCCCTTGGAAGGAAAAGGAGTTAGAGTCCACACAGAGGCGGATCAGATCAAGAAAGACATCAGTGGGGATAGGGAGATGAAGAAACCCTTCATGGGCCTTCTCTCTAAGGAAATCAAGGACCTCATCAAGAGGGACATTGGTGAAGAGGGACTCAACGTCAAGACTAAGCATCTTACAGGTTGGGAGAGAGCGAACCCGTTCAATGAAGTCTTGAGAGTGACGGAGGTGGGCAGGAGAAAAAGTACCAAGAAAGGGAGTGAGGGTTTTGGCCAGCCAAGAAGCAAGAGAATAAGAGACAGAACCTCTAGAGGATATGATAGGACGAAGAGGAATATCAGGTTTATGAGAGATCATAGCCATCCTATTGACTGGTCTTCTGCTAAAACTGTCTTCCCTACTTCCAACTCGAACAGTCGCCGTTTAGTTGAATCCTCTCTTATACACAACTTTCCTTGTATGAACCTTAGCCCTGGCTTCGTCTCTGTAGATGCCTTCCTCTCCCACTACATTGTAAAATGCTCCAAACTTCAGAACACCCGTGACTTAACCTGAATCCTCATTTTTTCTTCTTCTTCTTTTTCTCCTTCCTCTTTCCCCTTTCCTCTCTCCTTTTCTCCTCAGGGTTGTCTTTCTCTCTCCTGTCTCGTGTTTCTGTTCCTTCTTTATTTTATTTCACCACTTCCCCTTTCACGCACCTCGGTGCGCTTGCTCTCCCTCTGTGGGTTTCTAGCTCTCTTGCAGTGCTCCCCTTCCTTTGTATTTGACTGGCTCGTCTTCCTTATTTCCCACTTCTACCACTACCACTACTACTACCTCTTCTTCTTCTACTACATCTACTGATGAAATTAGACACATGTGCGGTGTCTGCTTGTCTTTGTTGTGGACGTTTCGCCATCCAGTTGCTGGCTGGATGGCGAAACGTCTACGGTGGGGATGCCCGGGTGTTGTGCATGTGTCATTTCATCCTGTCGGTATTATATACAATTCTTGTACTACTACTACTACTACTACTACCACTACTACTACCTCCACCTCTTCCTGCCTATATATAGCCGTCCTGCTCCTCCTCTGTTAGTGTGACTTTGTCAATGGTCCAAGTCGGACCGAAACGTCGTCGTAAGCTTCTGTCTTTTATGTGCGGGTTATTTGTGTGTGTGTGTTTAAGAATATATTTTGCTCTCCGGCGATAAATTGTGAATAAATTGTTTGATAATGTTAGGCTACAAAAGACTGTAAAATAGAGACCACCGTCCATACAAAGGTTAAATAGAGACCACCGTCCATACAAAGGTAAAATAGAGACCACCGTCCATACAAAGGTAAAATAGAGACCACCGTCCATACAAAGGTAAAATAGAGACCACCGTCCATAC